GTCTCACAGCTCTGAATCTGACCTTTAACTCAATGCTTATGCTGGAGATGCCGCCATTTCGCTTTTTCTTGATCTCTCTACAGGACAACATTTTAAACTCCCCACTTGAGCACTAAGTTGGCATCCGAGGTGCTGCCCTACAACGTTTTAAGCCCCACCTGACCGATCGTGGACAACTGCTCCTCTCAATCGGCTCCCCTGACCGGTGGTGTACTGCAGGGGTCCATTTGGGGGCCACTGCTGTTCTCACTATACGACCTGCTTCTACGATCTTATCGCCTTCGTGCTGAACACATTCAAATATACATTCCCCTCGAACCTAGAACAACCTCAATAAATTCTTTAATGTGCTGTCAAAAGCTGGCTCCCGCTGAATGTTCTATACCTCAATGAATAGAGAATAGAGTAGATCAGAGGTCATGGTAATTAATCCCTCTCGCCTTTCAGTTGCCATACCGGACAATTCCTCAGTGCGTCCGGGCCCCGTTGCAACCCACTGTAAATTCCATTTCTTTTTTATTGGACCTGCAAGTTGTGTTCGTAGTCAAAGTCAGCTTCTTTCTCTCCCTAAAAGACCAGAGACAAACACAGCTGCGTGGAGGAGAGTGCCACAGGGTCTCTGGTCGGTAACTGGCAGATGTGTGTGTTACTCTGAATTGTTGAAAACAGAAACTAGAACTAGCCATTGCTTTCCGTGTGAAGCTGACTTTTGAGACTTTTATTTTTAATTCCCGATTACTTAGAGAAGAATCAGTCTGACCCGCCGCAGCCATAAGCTCCATCTCGCTGTGTTAGTTACTGGTGCTGATCCAGTCTCGTTTTAGACCGTTGTGTATCTTTGGGATCATTTTTGTGTTTTAGATGTGCTATACAAATAAATGTTGATGTTAGAAGTGCAGAATCATAACTGGCTAACACACAAAAAAAAGGTCATGTATATGCACGGGCATGCAGTTGTTTTGTGCTGCTCTGTTTACAAAATGTTCATTAAATATAGTTTTCTGAAACATCTGAATTACATTTTTATGCCTTTATTAAATCAAATTCATGTTTATTTCAACAAAACTTGGCTTGCAAATAAACAACAACACCTCGATGTCATTCATTTATGATACTCGCATTGATGCATTGCATTTTATTTAACAGAGTCAAGTAAAAGGGTGTCAGAGCTCTTTGGTCCCTGGTACTTTTACGGTAAATAATAACAAAATCATTAGCATGTAGCGCAATACTGACGCACGCCGACCCAAAAGTGCCAGCTCCAACAGCTGGAGCACATATGCCAAATGTAGAAAAATACTTCATTGCAGAACAAAGCCTGGTATGTGTTAGTTGTGTGTTCTCAACAAGTCTAATTATAACCGTGAGAGAAAAAATAATTTCAACTAAATGTGCAGGATACCACTGACTCACTAGAGTTAATGCACTGAAGTACAATTTAAAATACAAGTTTAAGAGGACGTTTTGTTGATGAAATTTTAATGGAACCATGATCTATAATTTATTTGTATCCAAACAATAAGATCATCATCAGAGGAGATACATACTGTAGATGGTATACAAACTACATTCTGTGGTATGTATGCCTTCTTATTAAGAATTAGTCTTATTAGTCTTGTTCTTGTGTCCTTTTCTGGCTGTGGGAATGAAAAAAAGCAGTGTATTTCAGTCTACATATTTATCCTAGATTGTTACCGTTGAAAGATTCTAGTGTATCATGAGCGTAGCAGCTAATGTAGCTTCAAGCCGCTAACCTGCAGCAGGGACGAGCAACAACTAGAGGTCAGCTAAGCTCCCCTTTTTCTAACCACACCTCCAGCTTTCTTCTTCTTTAATCATGAAAAATGTTGATTTTCATTCCCAGCTTTTGTTTTGCATCTTAAAGTTTCCTTCTCTGAGCAGTTCAATGAACTGAAGTAGATGAGATGAGAATGAGATGAAGTTCAAAGACACATTTTAATGCACTTGATGCTGCAAAATCTGCCTCTTCCCTAACAACAACGCTCGGACACAGCATGTTGTCCTTTGAAACAACTACGGACAGGCCGTATGCACGCAGGTGGGTGACTGACTTGCATACATGGTGAAACATGTATGTATATAAAGCCATATACACACACACACACATACACACACACACACACACACACACACACACACTCTGACTTTCTTCAGGCTGTTTTATTAACCAGCAAAAGCAAACACTGCTGTTAAACGCAGCTTGGTAAAAAGTGTGCATGAACGTTTGGCTGTGCTCTGGTTTGAGGTACATTACAGCAGGTCAATATGGCCAACACATGGGATCTGAATGAATTATTATATGACAATAGATGCAGAACCACTTCTGCAATCCTGTGTGTGTGTGTGTGTGTGTGTGTGTGTGTGCATCAATAGAAACAGTGAGATGGTTCACTACACTTCCCTTTCCACATACGTCTATGGCATATTGTGTGTGTAGGTGTATGTGTGGTCCTCTTCTAGTCTTTTCAAGCACTAGCAGATGTTAGGTTGACCACCACGGTGGTGGTAGATGCTATTTCCATTTTTTGCTGTGTGTGTTTGTGTGTCAGAGGGAGGTCTGAGGTGGTCTCAGTAAGCCATGTTGTTTTAGGGTTAGGTCACAATAACCTCTACCACTCATGTAATGATCTCACACAAAAGCACAAACCCTACCAGACGGACACACACACACACACACACACACACACACACACACACACACACACACACACACAGACACAGACCTTTTGGCACCATGGGCTTATGTTAAAAACATATTTAAACAAACCCATTCAAACCGTCTCTGCTGTAGGTGGAGGATGAGGTACACACAGGTACACACAGAAGCATACACCCGCCCACCGATGACAGTACTTGAGATTCATCAGAATCTTTGCAGAAAAACATCAAAAGACGATGGAGGACTCTCTACCCATGAGGAATTTTATGCATTTTTGAGCTGATTGAGCCGACGCCCTGCACCACAGAATGAGACCTTTCATCTCTGCTGGTTCAGGTGAACGTCCTCACTAACTCACTACGGCAGGTTTTCCATTGGACAGTGACCACTGTGGGCGTTTGAACTTTGAGTGTTTTTTATTAACTATCCTATTAGTAAATGCAACAATAAGGAAACCGGTACACAAGGAGCACGACTCTGTTTTTAGCCTTTTCACGGTGTCTTTTCCCTGCATGCTTTGCAGCCTGTGAGAAGTCTCACTACAACAGGAGGCAGCTGGACCATCTGGGATGATGACTCATGTTTTCCAAAAAGGACCTGAGAGCAAACACAGCTTCAGCTATTTACAATGAATTCTTTTATTTTCTTCCAAACTATTTTACAGCGTGAGGATGAAACTTCAAAGGGACTTAACTCGCTTGAGTGCATCGAGATCAAAAATGACAGTAATTAGGGAGAATGATATGCACTTTTCATAGCAGTAAAGCACTGAAACAAGGAACGGCCTGGCTGACTATGTGTGAACTGAACGACACATTGAAGACATGAATTATGGGAACTGTGGGTGTTTGGCAGAACATATCGTCATTTCTCCCCATAAATAGGAAATTAAATGTTAGTGACAGTGCTGGACCTGCTTCCTGCAGGGGATGTCGGCCTGAATTCATCAAGCGAGACAGTGTGCCTCTGCTGCTGTCACCAGCAACACTTTTTTTTGGCTGAACGACCTTCTGTTCTAGTATTTTACTCCCTAGTCATTTTTAGCTTTTTGTATGTCTTTTATTTTCTTTGCATCAGAAAGAGAGTAGTCCTCCAAAAAATGGCCTATTTCAGAAGTGCAGTGGTTGTTGTGTATATTGTCAGAGGAAAACCATTAACTCATTCAATTAAGTATGAAATCGTTTTTGTAAAAGTTAATGTAAAAAGAAGAAGGCCATACATGTTTTGATATTGACAAAATAACCCTTTCTTACACTTCAATTACCAAAACGAAACACCATACACGTTTTCTCTCACTTATGCCACAGCAAATGAGTGGTTACATATTTAGTTTTAATTTAGTTTTAGCTACTACTATAGTTTTGAAGTTCAGAAAAGTTACTGTACAAAAACAATGACATAGTTTTGCTTTTAAAGCTTTAAATGCCATACTTTCCATTTACATTTTTGTTAAAGGACTTCTTTAACGATTGAGTTTCCAGATGATCGAGCTTAAAAACGTCTTCTAATTAGCTGCCGGATTCCATGGGCTCTGTGAAGGAACAACAACACAAATAGAGACTCCAGATTGACCTCTAAAACAAGTAGAGCAAAACGTTCTCCTTTTATTTTAGAACAAAGGCCCTTTCCACCACCAAAACCTAAGACTCCATCGTCTTTAGGTTAAATTGGGAGAAACAGAAGGACTTACACAGAGATTTAAACACTGGAAAAGAGGCACTGTCTCTCTTTGAGGGACTCTCTGAAGTCTTTAGAAAGCATTCCTGCGCCACCTCGTGTTGAAAACGCAGACTTGTAGCCTAAATGAAAGTTTAATAATTTACATAACAAACAAGAAATACATTTTGATTATTGCCTGAACAGAACGTATTGGAGGCGAGCGTTGTTTTGTTAATTGTGACTTTTTCGTGAGCAAAAGCAGAATGCTAACAGTATACGTAGCATGAGTCAGCATGTTTTCATGCAGTAATGTAAATGAGAAAGAACTACAAGAATGACAATGCTTTTTATCTAATGTATTTTTAAGGAACTAGTTTAACATGTTTAGATTTTTTCACAAAAAGTGTTGGGTTTGTCTGCTGGATTACAACCAGTCAGCACGCTTCTTCCAGTAAGCGCTTGGTCGGAGTGGGAGCTGAGTCATAGACCAGATGGAGGCTGTTTAAAATGACTGGAGGACAGATGGAAACCTGGCTTAGCAATAGACCTTCTTAATAAGCACTGAGCCAGGAGAAACATTAGTGTAATTTACATTGCAATTGTCCTTTTTAGTGTTAGAAGTGTGTTATGAATGCGTATATTTATACAATATCACAAAAGATCAACAGAGAGCAATGCATTTTATTACTCTATGAGCTTGTGTACAATGTTGAATCACAGTTTTAGTTCAACACATCAGCATACTTTAAATCTAATTTGTATTATCAGATGATTATAATGGATTTTGTTCTGCAATAGTGACTGTTATGCACACATATTTCATAGTCAAGTAATTCATTGTTTAGTTTTCATATCCCAAATGTGAAGAACACAATACTTTTCAGCTTCTTTCCAGATCCTTTCTTGATATACATCTTATTTAAGAAAAATCAATATGTCTATATGTATGTATATATACTGTATATATATATATATATATATATATATATATATATAGGCGTGGGCCTTCCAATGGAGCACTTGACCTCTGACCTTTTACAAGAAATCAATCTAATAACATCAACTAAATTATCAACCTTTTAATTTGATTTAAAATGACAATTTCTGCTTAATGCTTAAAGGAAAAATGAAAAACACTACTCTTAAACCACAGAATTGATATTGAATAGATAGGTGAGAAACACAAGCATTTGTTAATGATTTTAAAAGGAAAGACCAACCTACTGCTGCTGTGATCAATGCCTTATGAATTATGGTTGTTGGTTGTTTCTGAGTAGATGTTCAGCCTGCGAAAACAAAACGACTTATCAGCTGCTGCATCAATCCACTCAATATCTAACAGAAGAAAAAGACGCTCAATATGACAACTTCGCTGTAAATACCAGAAATTCGACGGGTTCCTCTGGTTTGATCTTGGAGCAGTCTAACATGGCTTCAGAGAGCGGGGGCATCACGTACTTCATCAGATAGTTCCTCAGAGGAAGAGAGTGAGCTTCCAGCAGCTCGTGCTCCTGACGCTCCACCTCGGACAAGTTCCTCTGCTGATGAGGAATGAGATACTTTAATCGGCTGAAGCTATTTAGAAGTCATTACGTTCTGGTACACTGCACAGGGCCCATTGCGGCCTGGTAACCAATCCCTACCATCTATGAATGCCTCATACAACACTTACCCACTCCTTATACTGAGCCGCCATCTCAGCCATTGCAGCTTCATTCCTACGTTTCCTGTCGGCAGCCTCCTCGGTCTCCTTCTGCTTCCTCTCCTCGTCTCTCTTCCGGTCCTCCTCTTCCAGCTCCTCTGCACTCGGGCCATAGTTTTTGGGAATCCCCACAATCTCAATGATCTTCTGCATAACACCTGTGTATTCTGAATCGTCTGTGGTGACCTCTGGGGAGGGACAAGACACACTTAGTGGAATGAAACGGAACCATTGGGAAGTAAGTTGGTAACCTAGAAGCCTCTCTGCAGAATAAGTCTCTTACCACAAGGTTACACAATTAGATTGATTCATCGCACAACATTTTATTAGAATTCTTTCTTAGTATGTCAGATGATGGAATGGGGGAAAGATTATAGGAAATATCCACAGTTTGGTCACTCTGTTTCTTAACACGAGGGAGATGAGATGAGAATGAGATGAGTAATAAATATACAATGAGTTTACAAAAGATCTTTTAACTGCACAAACATAAGAGTCATCTAATCCAACTGTACCACAACGAGAATAAATGTATTTCCCCTAAATGTTGTACCCATGAACTCAGTTTCTTCATTAACCATGAAGTAGAATGTTCTTTGAGAAATTAAGCAAATGTGTTTACAGGAGATGTGATTCATTATATTTCAATAAATTCTCAAGCTATAAAAATACTGAAAAGTTCCCCTTCAGTTGCATCTTAAGGGAAAAAAACAACATTTGTTTACATTTAAGGTCATTATTCTCCTGATGGAATAATAGGAAGTATGTGTCTTTTAAAGCGAGTATACCAATATGTTGTGGGTGAATCTCCTGCTCATCAAAGTAGTCCGGCAGGGTTTCCTCCGCTGTACTCAGTTGCCTGTATCTCGTCAAGCGAGGGACAAATTCCTCTTGGGTGTAACGCATTTCATCTGCAACACTCTGTGGAAGTCCCAGAGCTCTCTTTGTCAGAAAATCATCTGTTGCATCGAGGACAAAAACATGCTCTGCAAAACAGGAAACACTTAATTAGAATAAGAATGCTTTGTAATATTGGTGAAGAAAGTTTGGGGTTTGATTGAGTACATCAACAACCTGGAGTAATCTCCGTGTTGTGCACAGGTTTTTTGGGAATCAAATCCTGGTCCTCTGTGTCCTCATCTGCATAATAAATAACAAAAAGCAGCATTTGTATTAGTGTTATCAATATTTATAAACATTAATATTGTAATTAAAGGAATGAATGAATCAAACATACCGGAGAAAATCAGCCTTGCCTGCTCATAAGACCTGGGAAAGCCATCAAGAACAAATCCTTGGTTCCTGCATGGCTGGGAATTCAGCTTTTCTTTCAAAATGTCAAAAACTAGATGGTCAGACAGTCGACCTAATGGACCAAAACAATTGTTTAAACCTAAAGTGATCAACTAAAAGACTCTCTATCGGGCGACAACCCGAATGCAAAGGTCTCAGCCAGATGAGCACAACCCTCTGCGTTACATGTATCTATCTCAAGCTTAGTAACAGTTTTAGCATACAAGTTTCAATTAATCCAAAAGCTGCAGTTGTCAGACATCCAGACAACTTTTGTTCAACTTTTAACATCCATAAACCAAACCATGTCACTCATATTTTGGGATGGGATTCTCCAACTAACCTTCATCCATTTCCATGCTTTTGTTAATTTGTTCCAGTTGTTTCTGTGCAGCAGTAGCTACCTCTTCACTGAACATTTCAGGGTCCGATCCATTCACTATCTCCTTCTGCAGCATAGAACAAGAAACACAAAAAAATGAACAAATATATTTGTGGTAGTAGAGTCTACAAGAGACACAGAAGAGGGAGTATATTTCCTCAAAGCAGTGAGATTAACATGTAATCTGCATGGTAGACAGAAGCAATGCTTTTATTCCACTGACCAGCTGTGTGAGATTTTCCTCAATGACCTCTTTGATCTTGATGTGGTGTATTTTGTAATGACTGCACAGCTTCTCGGCAATAGTGCTTTTACCCACCGCTGGAGGTCCAGCCAGGCATATTCTGATTGGCTGTAACAATAAAATGGAAAAAGAGGAAATCATTGCAACTTTTATCTAGGATTAAAATAGCTTTTACACCCAAATACCCCATCAAGTAAGTATGGTAAGATTTTGGATTAGTAGACTGACACATTGAATCTGGCCACACTGTATGTCATCATGTTATCTCTAGATAACACTCACAAGAAGCTGCCTGGTGTCTTTGTACTCCTCAACAATGCTTGCCATGTTTTCAACCATCCCAGCTTCAGACGTCCAGTGGAGACTGAAGGAGTCTTTGATAATGAAAGCATCCAGGCGGAGGTTGATATTGAGGTATTCCAATTCGCCTGGCTGACATGGGATTTGAACATGATGACATAATCCAGACTAGATTCTTATTCTTTTTAAATTACAATAAACATTTCACACTTTACCGTAAAAGCCTTCATGGCAATGGCATCCTGCTGAGGTAATTTGTTAATTTTTCCAGACCCAAGTGTATCGCTTATGACCTGATGGGTTGAAGAGAATAAGATTTATTGCGATTTTCAGTTGACAAAGCAGTACTAAGCTTATACTAGGTACCATAATATTTAATGAATACTGGGTCCGGGGTGTATTGCTGCATTGGTGTTATCATTAAGGTTACCTTTACAATATCCTCTAAAGTGTTCTTGGAGTCATCAACAGCAAGGATGTACCTGGACTTTGGCTTGAGTTCAACGATGTTTTGGATCACTCTGAAAAATAAACACAATTCAGCCTTTTGTTTTTCCTACATTAAGATGAATAGCCACAGTATATATGTAGATGTAGAGAAATAAAAATCACCCTGCGAGATCATTGACGTGAATCGTGGGGATATGATTTGTGCCCTTTCCAAAGAGAGGAACTTTTGGAAACTGCATCAACCAAGACTCCTGCGAAAACACAAAAGCATTTTTCCAGAAGATCATATTGCAAATTTGGATATAAGTAAATACAAAGATATGCACTATACTGAGTTATTACATAACACATTCATACCTACCTTGAAAAAGTAGTTAAAGAGGTTCTCTCCCTTTCCATACTGAAGTCCACTACCTACAACATATCCAACAAGCTTGGACTTTTTCTGAAAGATAAACATCACACAGAATTCAACTCTTTTTTTCATTTTTCTTTTCTATTGCTTAATACATTTCCTGGTTCAGAAAGTAAAATGCTAACATGATTTTTGTTGAACCTTTCATCTATAACGTGTACATACACCTCTAGCTAGTTCCAGCACAACTTTCTCCACGTTATTGTGTTTTCTAAAATTGGGATGTGGCCTTCTTCTTCTGAACTGTTCCTCTGTAAGCAGAACACCCGATTCTTCCTGAAGACAAACATTATAGTTTAAATGTTTGTGATGTATTCATAGGGCAAGTTTGGAAATGTCTTCCTACAAGCTCACCGGATTCTGTGCCTTGGTCATGGCCCAGGTCATCACACTTGAGACTAAGATGAACATTTTTCGAGACTTGAAGTTCTCCATCTCGGCACTGAGGGCTGTGGTCAAAGACAGAAAAGAGCACAAGAAAGAAAAAGGAAACAGCAAAGTCGGCCCACTGGATAATAAGCCCAATTCTTCCATTACCTGTGATTGCCCATGTTGCTTCTTCAACCGGTTGTTGTGTTGCACTCTCTGAGATGTTGTACACCACCACGTCACACTCCAGCAGGCGCTCAAGAAGCTCGCCTCGTGTTGATGACTAGCCAAAAAGATGAGATGTCCAATTATAAATGGTCTGTCATTCACATTGCCTAGTAATAGACATACTTTACATAGTTATTATAGGACTCCAAAACATAATCTTATAACATTAGATGATTATTATCAAAGCCTTGTTGACAGTTCATTTCTTCAGAGTATATAAGGAGCCAGTTTTTACTATGTGGTAGTTTAATCTATAGCAATTAATCACATTACAGGCTACAATATGATATGCTTTGCATTAAAGACATCCGTGGAGTAGATGTTGATGCTAACAAGTGGCCTACAACATGTGCTTTTGTTGTGGCAAACAATTATGACAGTATCCCAAATCATTTACATGTACCTACAAATATGTATAATGCTTCTTGAGCAACCTGCTGCCCGGCAGCAATGTGCACCACATGGCTGGAGACACAGTGAAGATTGTTAACCTTCCTTGTCATTTCAATCATAACTCACCGTGTACTTTTCAAGCAGAAAGTCGCCATCGCCTTCTTTGCTGGAAGGAGACACAGTTCCCACTATTTGAAAAGCAGCTTCGCCTCGCCTCGAACTTTCTACGGTGTCGGCTTCCTCTTCTTCAGAGTCTTCTCCACCCGCGCGTGAAGTGGATAAAAACTGTTGACACGGTCAGAATACACACGGTAACAAAACTAGTGGATGACAAGCGGGCAGCTACTTGATTATCGCTAGCTAACGTTAGCTTCACTAGCGTTACCTTAGCGATGTGCATGGAAGAATATCTGTCGACGTCGTTGATAAAAATACGTTTGGGGAGAGTATGTCGCTTTTTATCCCCCATTTTAATGCGTAATGCTTTGTGTGGTGAGGTTTGACGTTGTTACTCAAAAATGGCTTAACGCTCCTATAAACGAAATCGTTTAACCAGCTAACATCAGTTGTGACTTTTGCTCTCCGGGCTCCGTTTCTATGGACTCTCTTCCGTTGCTAAGGGTCGTCCAATGAAATGCTGCGCTGAGAATGCGTAATGTTGACATGTTGACACGTGACCTCACGTACTCCACGTTCCAGCCCAGCTGAAAACGTCGTAGACGATTTCTTGCGTAACCTATTTACGTGCAACGCACAACAGAGTTGTGATTTTCGCCGTACGTGTTGATGAAAACAGCATGGGGGTTTTCACGTAAAAGCACCGCTAAGTCTACCATTTCTTTGTATTTAATTATGCGTAACGTCCAGACAATTGGAATAACATACACATTTGCATAAATAATTATAAGAATAAACAGTAAAATGCATATAGAAGTTTATTAAATAAAATTATTTAATGAACATTTTTATGTTTTAAGGGTAGGTAGTGCCTTGCCTACCCTGACTGCACGTCACTGATTATAACATAGTGGGTCCAAACAAACCGGATAAATCATCTCAATTCTGATCATGATGATGACTACAAATGATTACATTACATTACAGGTCATTTAGCTGACGCTTTTACAGCGACTTACATTACATTTTTAACCCATAGCTATTTACATTTTTGCCTGGGGAGCAATTAAGTGTCTTGCTCAAGGAGACTTTGTCATGGGACAGGGAGCAGCCGGGGCTCAAACCGTCAACCTTGTGGTTCCCAGCGCTCCCTCTCTACCCCTGTGCCACTTTCACCTAATTCTCACAACATAACATTTATTTTTGTACATGTGTAAGATAGTTGTCCATTGATGCCCCATGGTGAATTTTAGTCTCACCGTGCCGTTGTTGCATTGATATAATGATAAGACACAGAAGGAATCACTGTCTCGCCGTGTAGCTGTTGATAACACAGTTTTTAAAGAGAAGCTATATGACTCAGTGGATCTAAACATTACATATCTGTTATTAACCGTGTTGTACCACTTTTTACGCTGTGTTACAGAGTTACTTTTTATATTGCTAGATAGCTGAGACTTCCAATACATACAATACACAACAATCTATTGGATGGTTGAATAGCCTACTCTACAAGGTATAGTAATTAAAGCAATCTAATGAAACATATTAGCCTAACAGAGCATAACATGAAAATACTCAACAGTTTCTCTTGTGTAAATATACTTAGTTACATTCTGGACTGATGGTATTCCTCTAATTTTACTATTTAAAGACCGCATGCATCTCCCCATTTAGCTGCCCACTCAAGCCCAGATACTCACACACTTGTGGGAATGTTTATCATATCATTGAGCATGACAAGGACATGCTGATATGGTAACTTTAAAAGCACACCGTACTTTTATAGAACTGACGGAGAAACTGTTAGAAGTACTTGATGTTGTTTTTGAGTGAATAGAAAATTATGTCGGTCCTTGTTATTTAAAGGCTTTACTATACTATGCTATACTATATGCTATATTTTTAGGCTTGTTTTAGCCTTTTTTGATACTTGCTGTAATTTCTCTACCATTTGAACTAATTGTCACAATTCCCAAGAGTGGATTGTAGGCTCGTTCAGATCACCTGTGGCCTGTGAATTTTCCCTCTTTCTTTAGATCTTAAGAGCGGTTGGGAATTGCTATAGGTCATTATGATCATGCTTGATGCAGACCTCATTTCATCTCATTTATCTGCCAGAAACTTTAAGCCCTTTGAGACTGGTTTGCTGTATTGCTGCATATGTGTTTATGATATAAAACCTAGCTAGAGTCAATTCTAAAAAACCCTTCCTACTTTAACCTGCATCAGAGCAGACAAGGACAGATACACATAAGTATATATAAGGTATATATAAGCATTTCCCTATCAGAGATGCATCACATTATGGTTGAAGAGTCATTTTTTCTTTTTCATTAACTGCAAGATTTTCAGGGTTTTTCCAGATCAGCTGCAATTTGCGGATTTATAGAGCAACATTGAAATAAATTGAGGGCTCACACACAATATTCTTTAACTTTAAAAAAGTTCATATTTATGATTCTGTTCTGTCATTTGCCGTTAAAAAATAGCCGCTCATGTGATCACTCTGATTATCGTGTCAACAGCTCGTCAAACACCGCTGAGCCAGCAGCTGCTTACTGCAGGCATGTCACACATTAGGATGAGTGCATGTTTATTGTCTGAGGCTGTTTACTGAAACGTATTACCCTGCAGCGACAAAGTTAATAGGATTCCTTGTGCGTTACGAAGCTGTACAAAACAGAGTAAGATTACTATTATTGGTAATTTAAATGCGTTTTTAGTGACCTTTTTTTTCTAGTCTTGAAATTAGAACAGAAAGTTAACTGAAAGTAATCAACTTGTTTTCAGCAGATTCTACAATTCTGACCTGGTGGTCAAATTATTTGTTTTTCATTCAAAAACTTCCATTGCAACAGGTGTCATCTTTGCAGAATGTGTGAAACAAAAATCACCAGAGTGGTTTTACTGTGCTCATCTTCTTTATCCATTTCTATAAAAGTGTGCGTCGTAACAGTGCATCCTCAATACTAACAGCAACAACTGTTCAGCAGGGCTTGACTGTTAAAAAAGCAGTTGTTGCTAACAGCTGCTGAGGTGTATGTGTGTGTTGGAAGAGGCAGGGGGGTGAAGTGCAGAAGGGGCAGCTGTCAGACAAACTCTGTGCTTCCTACATGCCCGTATAAGGACGAATGCCCCTCAAAACCACGACCCATTTAGGACCAATCTGCTTTATCCTGATAAAGACCTGGTGACACAGACAGGACTCTGCCAAAAAGTGCTTCCTTGACTTGAAGGGAGCTGTTGACAAAACACAGCACTGGCTTCATCCAACGGGACGTCTCTGACTCCTACATTTTGCCCAACAATGTGAAGCATTTGTGCACTGAACAAGAGAGTCGGCTCCAAACAAACACTTCTTTAACCATGTATTCCAGTAATAAGTGTAATTTACTTTCTGTGTAGCGTATGTAAATACAAACTCAATCAATCAACTATATTAAGAATCATATAAACACACACTAACAAATTAAGCTTGCCCTTTTCTGTTCATGGTTTTCTTTGTTTTTCTAATAATTCTTCGGGAATCCAAGGAAAGCTGCGGTTTGACTGCGACCGTAGAGGAGCTTCATAGTTCAACGCCGGGCAACAACGCCGGGCGTCAGAAGGTGATGGGTAGGATGCTACTACTCCAGATTTACTCTTGTTTTGGAACAAATTTTAAATGTGCTTTTATAGTCTGGTACAACACTTGATTCATGGAATGCCTTAACTTTAACAGCAGGTCAATCATATCTTTATTTCTTTGGTTTCACAGTTTAATTCTGCTCTTCTATATTTCCGAATGACGTAGTCCATTGTAGAGCTAAGAGGATTAGTTGATTTATAGATAGTCAATAAACAGAATATTATTATAGTTTGCAGGTATTGTGATAATGTTCTCTAGTTCCAACTTCTCGACTGGGACAGTGTGCTGCTTTTCTTTATCTATAAAAAAACTGATTATCTGAACATCAATTCATTGGGCCGTTCGTTTTTTTCCTTGAACCCTTACAAGACAATAAATTGACAATAAACTCATTAAGAAATCCACCCAAAACTTTACGAGCAGTTATCAGTTGGCAAAGATACACAATGTGAGAGTAGCTTTCGTGTAGGTAAACGCTTGAAATAGAAATAGACAAGTAGGTGATCAGCGTTTCGCTCTGAGCTACATTACAGCACATGGAGACAGACAGAATAGCTCAACCTGCTGATGGTAGTGGGGGGGTATTTACATTCTTAATGCACTCACAGTGGCCTGATAGGGCTCCAGCATGGGGGAGCAATGTGGGGGCAGTGCGAGGTGACTAATAAGGAGCCAGAGCTTTGGCCGCAGTCTGTGGCAACACGCAGCCACCACCAACTGTTACACTCCATTTCCCTAAAAGGAGACACTGGAGCCAATCACAGGACAGAATCACCTCTCGTCGCTCCGCGCACAGGCCGTCCTAGCGATCTGCCGCCCGCTGGAGTCCCCCCCCTCTTACAATATTGCCTCTCAGCTGTCTGGCATGTTTTTCTGCCCCCCCACCCAACACGATGAACCGACACTGGCAAACTGTCCCTGGCAGGTTCCCATTGAACGGCTCCACAACCAGAGTGCCCAGACAAACTCTCAGATTAACATCCCCAGCGCCCCGCTTGGCCTGCGTCATATAAACACTCCCTGGGAGACCTGGGGGGAAGCTGGACAAAGCATGAATGGGAGTAATACGCTGATCACGTTGTTGATATCACATATTCAGGGGATTCAGTGTCCAAACCTCCCAGCAGATTCAATTTAAAGGGCATTAATTCATTCTGAGAATCAACATAAATAATTTGACAACTAAACTAAAACTAAGCATGCAAACCATATACGTTTGTTTGTCTACTAGGTCCATCCAGGCAAAAATCGTCTGGTAACTGGTACTAGTTCTTCCTTCTGTCCACTGACTTTCATCTCCAAGGCAACATCTCCCCACATTTTGCTAAGCATCACTTAATTTGGGCTTGTGTGAACTACTGATCCCGCCCACAGGCCCCCCAGCCTGAGGACGCTGGGACATATTTAAGGACCACTTTGAGTCCCTCAGCTCTTTGTCCCAGTGGAAACTCCAGCCTTGTGGTCATAACTTGGTGAGTCCCTTTTCAGTCTTGTTGCATTTTTCTTTTCACCATAAGAACAAAAGAGGATGAGTTGATGCTGCGGCAGCTTTATCTGTTTACTGCCAAACCATAGCGTTTTCTTTTACTGTTTAAAAAAAAGAATTCTGTGGTCAAAGGTTGGGATGGAGCATAGGAACTGAAAAATAATTGAAAAGAAAGAGAAACAATTGGTGGTGAACAGTTTACAGAGTAATGGAACAGGGAACCAGGAAAGTCTCTGAGGAGGCTGTGATGGGATACTTGCTGTGCAGAGGCTATTGAGCTCTGACTCAACGTAGATACAACCAATCTTGAAACACCTTTCTGTTACTAAATAAATTGTTGCAGGTTTAAAAACCCTCTGAGGTTAAAATCTATAATACTATAATATCAAAGTATTTTTTTCCCTCATTAATAAAAGCTACTTAAATGCATAGTACGGCACATTATGGAAATTACAGAATAGCAATGGCTCTATAAATAATGTTGCTCAATTAAATCCACGTTTTTGAATGTTGTACTAGAATGACAAGACCTGCAAGTTGCAAGTTTTGTAATAATGGTGAAAGGATGTTGATTTAAATTCAGAGATAGATTGCTTTTCTTAAGCTCTCATGGAGGAAGAACCAAAGTCATATCTGCCATAAATGGCCTTGATTTGGAACGGTTTATAAAGCATTCAACAACATTGGATGACTAATTTGACTTTTTGTTGAACACCTTTGGAGGAGGAATTTAAGAGTCAGTTAATGTATGATTTTTCATGTATTTTCACTTTTTCCTAGGCATCATCCGCAGTGCAGACGCCGATTTCAAAACTGTCACCAGAATGTAATATCAGCTATTTAAATTGAGCGTGCTGATGTAGATTCGGATAAGGGAAGCCATGTATGGGGAGGGCAGATGCGGGATGCAGTGGGGATGCGGGCTGCGTCCAGAGATCCTTGAGGGATCGGGGCACATGGTCCGGCTCCAAAAGAGAAGGCTCCTGTGTGGCGGCAGCTGAGACTCTGTCCTCCTTCTGCTTCTTGTCAAAAGACACATTGCCTCAGCTGTTAACTGGCCCCTACTTAACGATGAGATACAGGGGACGGGTTGTGGGGGCAGAGGAGGGTGACAAGAGTCCTGAGGTTGAAAATAGACCTGAGAGTGTTGGGGGGGGCAGGAGGCCACGTCCCGTTATGGGTATTCAGGCAGCTGTGAGACTCAGACAGGAGATTAGAGCACTCAGACGTGTCTTGATACTTGACATAGTGCTGCATTGTTTCTCAGGACTGCCTGCTTTTCTTTTTTTTGAATGGACATGCTACACATTTAAATTGTATTGTTTCCTCAATGAAGCCCCCTTGATTTACGTTAGGGCCCTTGCACCTTGATTGAGACGATGTCACAAACTAAGCTGTAGTCTGTGTTTCCATCCTCTGTCTCTTGCAGAAGGCTAAAACAAAAAAGACCAAACATGTGTGACGACGACGAGACCACCGCCCTGGTGTGCGACAACGGCTCTGGCCTGGTCAAGGCTGGGTTTGCCGGTGATGATGCTCCCCGTGCCGTCTTCCCTTCCATTGTTGGACGCCCGCGTCACCAGGTAGGAATCCACAAGGCCCAACAGGATTGTGACGGATGAACATTTCTACAGGTTAATTCCAGAGAGTCTGTAAGTGTGCTTTTCTGAGTTATGTTTGCCTTGCGTTACCAGGGTGTGATGGTGGGTATGGGTCAGAAGGACAGCTATGTGGGAGACGAGGCCCAGAGCAAGCGAGGTATCCTGACTTTGAAGTATCCCATCGAGCACGGCATCATCACCAACTGGGACGACATGGAGAAGGTAAAGGAAATACCTTAACGTGTGTCTGTATATTGCTGATTGGAGCCTACTCGGGAGTCAATCCTACCCCTGACATATTCCCCCGTGTTCCTGTTTTTACAGATCTGGCACCACACCTTCTACAACGAGCTCCGTGTGGCCCCTGAGGAGCATCCCACCCTGCTGACCGAGGCACCCCTCAACCCCAAGGCCAACAGGGAGAAGATGACCCAGATCATGTTTGAGACCTTCAACGTCCCGGCCATGTATGTGGCTATTCAGGCCGTGCTGTCGCTGTACGCCTCTGGACGTACCACCGGTGAGTCCCTGCCGCGGGCTGACACTCTTTGATTGTGCAACATTGCAAACACACTCTTTAGGTGTTTTCTTTTGACAAACTGCTGCTTTTTCTGTCACACAGGTATTGTGCTGGACTCCGGTGATGGTGTGACCCACAACGTGCCCATCTATGAAGGTTATGCTCTGCCCCACGCCATCATGCGTCTAGACCTGGCAGGTCGCGACCTGACAGACTACCTGATGAAGATCCTGACCGAACGTGGCTACTCCTTCGTCACCACTGGTAAGAGGGACACAACAACCGACTCGAAGCGAAATATGTGTGAAATTATTAGAAGTTTATTTAGATTTGTGTATTCGGTTATTATAGTAGTGAGTAATTGCACTATCCAATTAAATGAGATAAGCCTACACAAATCTAACTAAGAGATCATGATACTGGAGATATGATCAGAAGGAAACCTAACTCATGAACACAATGATGCAAAACAGCCTTTTTATTTTCCAAGCAAAACACTGATTTCAGACTTCTTCCATTTTACTGAGCTCCTGGCTTGAGGAGTAAACACTGAAAGCTGTTTGTGGTTTATGTCGCCGTGTTGGTGCACGTAGTCGGTCGGTTAATGATGTTGACAGGTGACGTTAACTGACTAAACTGTGATGAACATCCTCCCTCCAGCTGAGCGTGAGATTGTGCGTGACATCAAGGAGAAGCTCTGCTACGTTGCCCTGGACTTTGAGAACGAGATGGCCACCGCCGCCTCCTCCTCCTCCCTGGAAAAGAGCTACGAGCTGCCCGACGGTCAGGTCATCACCATCGGCAACGAGCGTTTCCGCTGCCCCGAGACCCTGTTCCAGCCCTCCTTCATCGGTGAGTCAGCTGCCCTCCAACACCCACGCACAGAGAACACCGTCATGTATGTGATTACGTGTGTGCAGTCAAGGGCGTCTACTGACTCAGAAAGACACGATAATTATAGGCAACTATTTCAGCTTGATGTTAAAACAGAATATTTTTAAACAAGAAACTGAATTTTCACACTGTAAACATTTTCAATCTAAATGTTTATTATGCTATTGCTTATGAATTCTAAATTATGTGAAAAAGGTTTTTTCTAAGTAATAGAATATATATCTATATTTTTAAAGGTACTGTATACTGTCATTCTTAATAATAATATTAATTTATATTATTTCTGTCTATGTCTTGGCACCCATATCCTGTCTGCCATATGAACCCTCTTCCCTCTGCTCTCCCCTGTGCAGGCATGGAGTCTGCTGGTATCCACGAGACTGCATACAACAGCATCATGAAGTGTGACATTGACATCCGTAAGGACCTGTACGCCAACAATGTGCTGTCTGGTGGAACCACCATGTACCCTGGTATCGCTGACCGTATGCAGAAGGAGATCACCGCCCTGGCCCCCAGCACCATGAAGATCAAGGTGAGCCCCATCGACCGGTAATGACCCTCAGGACTGGAAGTTTAACATGGCGCATCGTACCAACCTTTACTTCTGCTCCTCCCCGCAGATCATCGCGCCCCCTGAGAGGAAATACTCCGTTTGGATTGGCGGCTCCATCTTGGCCTCCCTGTCCACCTTCCAGCAGATGTGGATCAGCAAGCAGGAGTACGATGAGGCTGGCCCCTCCATTGTGCACAGGAAGTGCTTCTAAATGTCCAACTAGCACCGAAAGAAAAAAACCCACACAGACCACTCCAGCTCTCCGTCCATATTTGTATTTCTACTCTGCCTTTTGCTGTATATACATGTTTTGTTGTAATAAAAATAGTTGCTTTTAACAGTAACAGTGTGGTGTGTTGTAATGTTAACATACAGGTACCGAGCAGGTCTATGAGCAATTAAGATCAATATGTCTGTCGAGTAAGCATGTCCGGTTTTATTTGATCATTTTAACTCTTCCCGACTCCGAAATGGATTCATCGGCAGAGCATAACTGCTTCTTAAACGCCTTATATTTGTATCTGCTTTCCATAGTATTTTCTTTTTTTTGGTTAAATTAAATAACTTACTTTTACTATCTAAAATACTGCATAAAGGAAAATATTATCGCCGCAGGTGATTTAGTTCAATCAGCTGAAATGATAAATAAACATCTTCCCCTTCATATTACATTACAGGTCATTTAGCAGAGGCTTTTATCCAAAGCGACTTACATTACACTTTAAATCCATGACTTTTTTACATTTTTGCCAGGGGAGCAATTAGGGGTTAGGTGTCATGCTCAGGTACACTTAGTCATGGAACATGGGGCAGCCTGGACTCAAACCACCAACCTTGTGCTTCCAGCACACCTTCTCTAACCCCTGCACCACGACGACCCTGTCACATACATCAAGTTGTCTCAATAGAACCTTTAATACTTTTTTTCCTAATCTTGGTATGGATATAATCTCACTTTTGAGTTCACATAAAACAGCGGGGGCCGTAATGTTTATATTTGTATATATTTCGACCAAACCGTGATCACAAAAAAAATTGTGATGTGAATAATCAGAATATATATGAAATCACAATCACAGCCAAATTTAAGGTGAAGTGAAAGTCAATCTGAAAATGAAAGCTCACATCTACCACTTTCCCCATGTGTCCTGAACACAACACCTTGCCTTTCCTCCCTTGTCACCTGACCCACAGGTGATATGGATGAGCATAATAAGGCCGACCTCCTTCATTCACCAGAGATTTTACCAAGTGAGAGGAGATTGAGAGGTTTTAGCCAAAGGCTGTTGGATATTTCAACATGAAGGTTACAGACAGTAATGTGATCCGGTTTCACCTCCAGGTTACATATGGGATTTATGTAAAGGGCTTAGGGAAAAAAAAGGAGAGATTGCAAATCACTGGTACAAAGGTCTTTGGTGTTCCTCTGGAGAATTTACATCGCCAATACATTCCTGAGTTTGGCCTGGTGCCCTGGTGAGTAGAAGTAGCAGAATAAGCAACTAAAACTGGGAAGTCTGCTCCCTGGATTAATTATTTTGTTTTTATTGTTTTGTCTCAGCTTTTTGGTGAATGCTTGTACATTTCTATTGGAGCGTGCTGGGACTGTTGGCCTATTCAGAAAACCAGGCTCCCTTCCTCGCATTAAGGCCCTTAGGGTAAGATTTTAGCCTTTCGAACTTGTATTTACGTTAGATTCTGCTCCAGAAAATGGTCCCCCAACGGTGGTTTGAGCAGGCGCCGATCGGTTTCCCATCGGTTATGGCTTTACTGTGTCTCACTAAATGTTTTTGCTCTTGTGTGTTGCAGGCCAAGCTGAATAGAGGAGAGGGTTGTCTGACCGCACCCTTCCCCTCCGACGTCTCGACGCTCATCAAACAGTTTTGCAGGGAGCTGCCGGAGCCCCTGTTCCCCTCGGAGCTCCACGCAGCTCTGCTCAAAGCCCAGGCGCTGCCCAGCCCACAGGACCGGACCTCAGCCCTCCAGCTGCTGTCATGTTTGCTGCCTGCTAGAAACGCCTCCTGTCTGCATTACCTGTTGGACTTCCTCTTCAAGGTCTCCCAGAGGTTTGAGAGAAAACCCTTGTTGGGAAGTTGAGCCCGGATAGACGGTGTTTGGGGCACAGTGAAGTAAATTATAGTCAACATTAGGGACCCGGGCTACATTATCACCAATGGAATTAGTTGAAGCTGTTAAATAGATTTTGGGACCGCTCACACACTGCTATGTAGTGATGAAACACTTATTCACTTAACATAATGGGCCTAATACTTTTTCTCCTCGTTCCGTTGACAGGATTATCTGAAACTGCTTGATATTGTTCCGCAGACAGGATTCCACAATGGGGAAGTGATCTACAGATGATTTGAATAACATGTGTTTTTCCCTCTTATTCCCTTGACGTATGTTTCAGATGCTCTGAAAACTTAATGACCAGTTCCAATATAGCCACAGTGTTCGCGCCGTGTCTTTTACCGCCCCCCAACAAGGCAGAGATGTCTGAAATGCGTCTTGAACTCAGAGTTCTCGTCTTGCGTACCTTTATTGAAAGCCCTCATTTATTTGGTAAATTAAATCATTTTTCAGTCCTGCTGCATTCTTTTAAATGGGGGAGCTGGAAGAGACTTTTCCGATCTTCTCACTCTGTAGGTGTCATTCCTAAAACGGTTATGGACAGCATGGATTTTCTGATTAACTTCCATCCTCTGAAAGATGCAAAAAGATGCCACAGAAAAAGACACGGTTTGAAAGGTATAACGCTAGGCATTAATGAGAAATGGAACGCGAACGTCATTAGCCTTTTCCGAACACCACATTTGCTCAAATACCCGCAGTGGCGTGGTCTGCGAAGACGATGCCCTGGGTTCAAAGGACAAAGGACAGGCCTCCAGCCTCTGAGGGGAGTCCAGAGTCCACCTCAGCAGACAGAGTACCGCTCAGGAGAAGCCTCGGCCTGGAGACTTTCCCCAACGTCCTGCTGTTCAGAACCTGCGTGCCGTGTGCAGGTAAACCATGTGTGAAGAATGAAATCGGCTGCAATGCATGTACCTTTTTTTTTTTTTTTTTTTTAAACGTTTGAACCAAATGGGATTTATATCCAAAATGTTTGTAGAAGAAGGTTTCCGTCCTGCAGCAGCCTTGTTGGAGAGTCACAACCCGGTTGGCGAAGAGGCATGCGAGACCCCACAAAGACCAGCAAGGTACATTTAAAAAAATAAAATAAAATAAAAAACCAAGGGAAGTCCTTTCTCATAATTAGTAAGATCGAGCGTAACTGTACAATATAAGACCGTTGATGATTTTCAATGAACATGAATCTGATGTTTTATTACGTTTGTCTCCCTTATTGTTTTCAGAGATCTCTGTTTGGGTAATTTCCTGAGGTTCACCAGTGGACAGAATGCAGGCGGTTCTCCTCTGTTCACTGGTGTTGGAAAACGTCAGCTCACACCTTGGAGGAGACGCATTTCACTATAATTATTTTTAATAAGAAATTGACATTACTGCAGCTTTTTAGCTTCTTGCATCTGCTGGATCCGTTTCTATTTATTTGGTGTCTCTGAACTGTTCAGTGTGTTTTAATTTATTTTAACATTTTATTAAATGTATGCTTTTGTTTTTTTTACTGTTGCACAGATGCCCTTTGGCTACAATTTCATATCAAGGGAATAAACGTTTTTTACAACTTTTTTTCTCTTTTACGTGTGCATACAATACATTTTATTACAGCTGTTAATTGGTGATGTGACTAGTCTTTAATGCCAACCAAATATCCAAAAGTCACATCTATATTGAAGATGCAATATAAGTACATATCAGTGGAGTGTTTAAAGCAACAATTGCCTTTGTGTACCCCGTGCAAATGATGGCCATAATGTTTCAGCCAATGGGAACAGAGGCTTTTTTGTTTCTTAGCAACTCCATCTGAACCGTGAAATGAGGATTGCATCCTCCTGCTAGGTTGCATAATGGCCATTTAGGATGGCCGTGTGGTAGGAGTGCTTTTCCTTCAAAATAAAGTGCAGCACAAAAAATAGTGCGCTGTAACAGGTTTAGGCCCCGTATCTTGGACAAACAAGAACGCATTCTGTACTCATGCTGAATCAACTTGATTTCAAAAGGTCGTCTTCACAAATGTCAAAGACAATTCCGGAATCCACCTATCCTTTTTTGTGACGCAAACTCTTATTCTGGAAACCGAAATAAACGTCTTTCTATCCAGCTTGACAGAGGTCTCGCGCAGTACGCAGGTGCCGACATCATCGAGGACACGGTAAGAACATATGGATCGGAATTCCTTTCTGATGTTTTATATAAACAATAACGTATATAAACCGGTGCAGCTTATATCTAAATAGAGATTTTCCTGTATTATATACATATTATGGATGTTAATTAGTCTATTTACATCGGCCCTGGTTCTGTTTACACTGTAGCACCATGTATTTATTCAATTTGTTGGCAAGTTACAGCCTTTTATGGTTTATATTAACCACAACAGACACAACGAATAAATAAAATACAAGCACCATTTCCATATAATAGGCAATGTTATATGAACGGGATGTCATGTGACCTGCAGACAAAATCCAGCCGTGTTTGCTCACGGCTGCTGTCCATCTTTTGTGCGCTGGCCTTGTGTGTTTTTCCTCGGCAGATGGCACTTCTCGGCTCCGCGGCACGGTTATCGCTGCTCGGCTTCCTCCTGTGCCTGCAGGTGGGCCGGGCTCCAGCCCGCAGCCCCCGCACGGCGGACCAGGTGTCCGAGGCCGACATCCAGCGACTCCTGCACGGGGTCATGGAGCAGCTGGGCATTGCCCGGCCGAGGGTGGAGTATCCTGCACATCAGGCCACCAACATAGTCGGGCCTCAGAGCATCCAGGGTATGTTGGCTGCATATCGTAAATAGTCCAAAGTATCTTGCATGTTTAGTCAAACTAGGTGAAACCTGGGACAAGGTTAGGCTGAATGTGGGCAGGTGAGAGGGTGCAAGTACTTGTGAGTTTATAAACTGTAACTTCATTTTATTATATATTCTAGTTGTCAGATGTAATTTTTCTTAATTCTTGACAAATTGTGTTTTTCTGTTACGCAATCCTCCGTATTCTGATTAAAATGAATAAAATAGCACCAACTGTTTTGATGGTTGTAAGGAACCATTCTCTGCATTTGTCCCTATGTATCATCTGCCTTCATTCTGTATTTACTTTTTTGGTTACATACTGTTGTATTATGTAATCACAAAAACAACAAAATATAATGTCAAATTTATGTTTTTATGAATACACCGCCAAAAGATATTCAGTTTTCTACTCATGATTATTCATGAACAACAATTAGAAATTTAATGAAGGCAAACCAGAGAATTTTTATTCATAATCTGATTAAAAATGACTGAGACAATCATTCTATTCTCAAAATAGAATTTGAAAAATATAGGTGCTGGTGAGGTTGCTGCTGTTTTTGTGTTGGTTGTAATGCACGTCTTCCTCCACAAGGCGGTGCTCACGAGGGGCTGCAGCACCTCGGCCCTTTCGGCAACATTCCCAACATTGTTGCCGAGCTGACAGGCGACAACGTCCCCAAAGACGTCAGTGATGATCACGGGTACCCCGACCCTCCAAACCCGTGTCCCCTGGGAATGACAGGTAGACGCTCTTGTGCAAAGCTCTTTGAGTATCAACATAACATTGAATAAATGTTGCCATCTGCTTTTTATTGGATTTTTAATGTATTCTTTTGCACCTCATCACAGCAGCAGATGGGTGTTTGGAAAATGCTCCGGACACAGCCGAGTTCAGCAGAGAGTTTCAGAAACATCAGCATCTTTTTGACCCAGAGCACGATTACCCAGCACTCGCGAAATGGGTGAGAATTCTACTGTGGAGTGTCACTTATTTCTAACTTTTATTTATTTACCTTTTTCATCACAAATCAATTGAATGGGGGAAAAATACTCCTGCCCACTTCCATAATTGCTTGTTTGGTGTAAACAACAGCCACAAACTGCAATTGTATAAAATATATAAAGCAGAGATAAAGAGAACATCTCAACAACAATTCGATGACAGTAATTTAGGAACAAAATGACTGGCTGTAAAACAAAGGATGCATAATTTAATATCTGTGTTTTCTTCCAGAACAAAGAGCTTTTGTACCAAAAACTGAAGGGAGGACAGAGAAGAAGAAAAAGGGTACCGTGTTTGTCGTCTTCTTCCTTTAAAGGATTGTGTCTGAAAAGATAACATCACCGGTACTGAAATCTCATCCTTGGAAATGTATTTTCTGGCCTCCCTGCAGAGTGTCAACCCGTATCTGATGGGCCAGAGGCTTGAAAATGTGGTCGCCAAAAAATCAGTTCCTCACTTCTCTGAGGAACAAGAGGAAGACCCACCAACTGCTGCCCACCAACCTTCTGCTGTCAGCAAATCTACAACCTAAACTCCTGCACCACTCACTCTAATGTTAAAAGCATACTGTCAGATAAGTTACATATTTAAGCAATTTGGCAATGGATTTGTACTATAAAATATGAAATAGATTGCAGATTAAAGATATGCACTTTTTATGGTATTATGGTCTCATTAATTAGCCCATATCTTGTTCATTAATTAGGGACAGCATGTGCCTGAAGAGCATTTCTCAGTTCACGTATACCTACCCATTTTTTATGGAATGGTCACATGCAGGAGATTCAAATCTATAACCCCAAATGCTAAAATGTGTGTGTAATCTCTTTAAGTCAGGACTGTCAGTACATATACAACTGTATTATAAAAGCACGTATAAAGATATTTTGATTTGGAGGAATGTTGAAAGAGAAAGTCGTCATTATCCGACAATACAGAAGTAAATTTGTTCACTGAAGTTTTGGAAGTTAAGTGTTTGTATGTCTTGATATAATCACATTTGTGTCTTCAGAATCAACGGTTTAATACAAATCCTGTTTGGTTATGGTAATTCTAAACAGTAGCAGCTTTGTGTTGAACTATATCACTGTTGCATGTCAATTATTAGCTCTTATCTTATAATACCCTAGAGTTTCATCTTACCCAAACATGTTTGTGTTGGTTTTGCTGTGTGAAGTCAAATAAACTATTTATCTGCATTGGAAACGATTTTCAATGTTTTTTTTTGTTTGTTTTCCGGGGCGGGGGGACGTGTTCTGCTAAAGCTCTGTTTCCCAGAGTACAGCATGCCATTCCTAAATCCACTACCGAGGAGGAAGGACTTGCCAACGAAGCACATGCTGTAGACTTTGTGAGTGGACAAATTCTGCTTGTGAGAGACTTAACTCGTCATCAGGTAACTCAATTTAGTATCTGCTGACTTCGTTTGTTCACTAAACTCCTAAATGAACGTGTATTTGCTCGTTTATTCGCTGCGTAATGCGCGCGTAAAAGTTGTGCGTAAAATACTCTTTCTCCATCAGCTTCAGGTATGAAGACACACTCAGTGCTGATGTTCGCAGCAGTTCTGGGGCTCCTGCTCCAAAGGAGCTCAGATGCTGCCATATATCAAAGCGCGTTCCCACAACCGACCAAATACAACCCAAACGAATCGGACCGATGCCATCAACCCGCCATCAGTGGACCAGTTTCCCGCGAGATGGGCCCTGTAACCTCTACCGACGAGGTGCTCGAGTCCAGTCAGGAGGCGCTTCACGTCACGGAGCGCCGGTACTTGCGGCTGGACTGGTGCAAGACGCAGCCGCTCAAGCAGACTATCCGGGAGGAGGGCTGCCTGAGCCGCACCATCATCAACCGCTTTTGCTACGGACAGTGCAACTCCTTCTACATCCCGAGGCACGATTACCAGGACGGGGACGCCTTTCAGTCCTGCTCTGCCTGCAAACCCAAAACCTTCAGCCCCGTCACGTACACCCTCTTCTGCCCCGGTCAGACACCCAGCAAGAGGAAGAAACGGATCCAGCGGGTCAAGCAGTGTCGCTGCACAACTATAGATACGGATTAGAAACAAACTAGTTGATCATTCTCGCTTCCGACTGGAATAAAAATGTTTTTTTTTGCAATAATAAAAAATGGAAAGTGTATTTTTCTTAAAGGACACGTGAGAAGTAAGTGCAAAGGGTAGGCGAGGAGCTACCGGAGTCTTCTTTTTAATCATCATGATGCCAAAATACAAAATGCGTGAGTTGGCTCAGGTCGTTTCCCTCAATTAATAATTCAACACACAGACCAAATATTCTTGCTTATCATCAGTGAGCTTTTTGCAGATTAAGGGGATTTGAAAAGTCTTTGAGAAAGGTGCAGGGACTTTGTAAAAGTTCAAGGTTTAAGGAGTGAATTGATGGCCCAAAACAGTGTTTAAGCTTAAAGCAGGTCTTCTCTCAATATAAGAACATATAAAGGACTTGAATGATTGTATCATTTCCACTGTGTGGGATGTAAAGCTGATTCAAATATGTTTTTTCTTTTCAACCTGCACTGCTGTCACTTCATTTCATGAGTGTTTATTATGTGTCATGTATTGTTTAATCTTTTGTATATAAAATGAGTACGCAATCACATGTCTGATCAGATTTTATTAAGAAGATTGACAAAAATAAATGCTAATCATTTACGTAAAAGACGATACGAGACGATTTCCAAACAATACATCACTTGTGTTTATAGTGATTTCTGAATATTACACATTTATTGTTGTTTTTGTCTTTAACATCTCAGCACATTTTAGGGAGCAAATTATAAAACAAAACTATCTGTAAATGATGACAATTCTTTATTGTCTGGTAGAAGTAACAATGATTTTGTATCTTATGTTGAGAACATGTTTGCTTCTTTCTGACGCAGTCGGTCTTTCTGTTGAGAGCAAAACATAGTTACAGTCCAAAAACACAGCATATTCACAATTAAGACAGAAGTGCATTACGTGTATTGTAATATGTGCTGTCTCATTAAATAAGAGCATATGATATGAGTAAAGTGATAAAGCAAATGTATCTGCCTTGAAGGTCTTAATTGGGAAATATGTGTTATAAGAGGAACATTTATTTTGTGTCCTCAGTCGATTCTGTGGTGCATCCGTCTTACTAAGCTGTTGGGGTTGATCTTTCTGGTCTCCACCTTCTTCTCTGATGTGATCCTCTTCACTGACAGCTGCGCCTCTTTTAATCTGCAAGTCAACTTCGTTGGTTTAATTGTTTGTTAAGACTGACGTTGTTTACAGAAAATAAATAAATCATGTATCAGTCAGTCATGGTTACATGAAGTAGTCTTTGAATCTGATACGTGCAATATTTTACATTACTGACTAGAATTCTTTCAAAACGCGAGAGGACTTTTGGTTTTCACAAGAGCATTAATTAAACAAAGCCTAGAAGAACCATCAGCACAGATTTTTCCCAACACTGCTTGTTTTTTCAATTCAGAAGTGAAAACATTTTTCTGAATTCAATTTTAAAAAGCCAGAGCTATCTGATACCTCTCTGTTGAGATGTTCTTGTTCTCCCTCTTCCACCTGGTCTTGAAGTCTGCACAAAACTCAAACCAGAGCATGAAGAGATGGCCGGTGGTCACCTCATGCTCCCCTGTCTTGGGCTTCAGTCCAAAGAACAGAACTAAGTCCTGAAAACTAGAAGGAGAAAGGATGAAAAGCACAATAAACCCACATTGCAGGTGTTCATTGTGGTTACTTGAGTGTTACAGAAGTTTGTTGGCCAATTACACGAATACAATTATTTTTGAAAACAGATATTTCCCCTTTTTCAAATTCAGTCACACAACTTTCTTTAATTTAATTTCCCTTTGCTGTATTTGAAAAACACATTTGTTAAATGTATCTTATATCATTATATTACAGGCATGGATTACACACCTCAAACAGATAAGGAGGCTCCCAGGACGTGAGGTTGTAATTGACATTCACGAAAGCCAAACCTTCCCTAAATGTCATGTCAAATATTTGCAGAACCTTTTGGTGAATTCCTGCTGCTTGGTTTGAAACTGAAGAAAATCACCAAATTCATAAAGGCCCGTATGATGCACACAACTGAACACCATACGATTCAAATCCGCCAACCTTTTTTGAACAGTCATCAACTGATGCAAAGCTTCTGCGTGTTCCTTTCGTGCTGCAAACAGACAGACGAGGAAATAGTTATAGGCAGACCCAAAAATTACTTTTAAAAAATCTGAATCCTTATTGATAAAAATACTTCATAATGGGTACTAGATATACAATAAATAATCTCCAGCATCATGGTGAACCTGTCAAGTGGAGTTCAGACCACCATCTTCGATTTGGAAGCAAAAGAGATCATCAACTATTCTGCTGCAATTTAGACCAATGTATCTTCATCTAAATGTGTTTTAAACCTGCTTTAAAGGCTCGGGGAAAATAGCACAAATGATGTCATAAAGATGCACACACAATTGAACTCAAATGGTTTTACAGTGTACCCTGAAAATATTTGTAACCCTTCTCTTTTTACATTTTTTAGCAGTATGCTAAAACAATCCAGTAATATAATAACGTTTATATGAGGAATTTTACAAATGTATTAAAGTAAAACACTGACATAAGTTGACAAATTGACATGATTATCCATTCAGTCGAAACTTAACTCAGGTGCCTACACCCTGATTGCAATCCACCTATGGAAAATTAAACTAATTGGACATTATTTGGAAAGCTGACGAGGCAAAGCAGAGAAAAGATCAAATCATGAGTTGGAATCAACTACCTGCAGAGCTCAGAGACAAAGTCATAGTGCCCAGAACACGGAAAAAAACACATGTCCTGTTTTCCCTTTGTTATTATGGGATATTGAGTGTTCAGTCAGACTGATATGGGGTGAAATACAGTACACAGTTTTATGTCTGCAACATAACAAAACGTTGAAAAGAGTGAAGGCCTGAATGCTCTCTGAAAGCACTGCACACCAAATGAAACACACGCGACTCTAGAAACAAAAGATCCAGCATGAATCCAGCGGTCTCTGTGTCCTTTGATGTGTCAGGCTGAAAAAGTAGTGATAGTCAAAAGAAGACATGCATTTAACATTACAACACATCTGTGCCATTTCAAATACTGGGAATCGTTTTAACGCAGGACATCGGTTGGTTGGATAAATATTTCCCAGTGCCGGTGTGTGTCTCTCAGTTGTTGCCAAATGTGTCTGATCCCTATCTGAGCGTCTAGCCTTTACCCTCCATCCATCCTATCTGCCCTTTACAAGCACACAGGCACTTACATGATCCAACCGACTGTTAAAGACAATAGCATACTTTAAATGATGCATCAAGGGAGAGAAAGTGAAGGGGACCGGTTCCCAGATGTTCATTTTCGGGGGGGAGTTTACATTATAATAGAAAGATTCTTCACTACTGTAAAATATCAAATGTGAGCATTAAAGTGGTTTCAGAAGTATTAAATGTGAATTCTTCTTTACTAGGAACAGAGAAAATGTATGGCGGTCTATAAATATGCACGTAATAGACATGTCTGTATTTTTGAAAGTATCACAGCTGAACGTGATTCCTCACCGCTGAGACAGAAAGCCTCCATCTTCCCCTTAAACGGCTGCAGGTGTTCTTCAAGGGAAACAGAGCAAACGTTCCGCACATCTTTCTCACATCCTGATTGTAAAAAAAAGAAACAAGAGAACAGATCAGAAAAAGGGTTAAAATAGATACTGATCTGATTAACTGATTCACAACACACGGTGAACAAAGTAAAGAACACAGCGACGCAGAATTCAAAGGTTGTTGTTTGTCATTTTCGGTCTGGCCAAAACAAAAGTTATAAGCACACATATTTATATACATATATATATATATATATATATATATATATATATATATATATATATATATATAATTTGATGTAAAGTTCCTTGCTATTGTGATTCATTCATCAAGCCTGTTGTGACTGCTATCCATTGAATCCATGTAATTAATTCTGTTTTATCTTGTTTTGCAAATTAATCTAATGAAATGCATCAAGCTCAGTAAACAAAGTTTTTGTGCGTAGCCATTTTTAGCTAAAGGATTTAAGTATATGGACGTGGTGTGAAATTACCTTTAGTCATTTATTTTGACTAATTTAAGTTTATTACTAAGACTACTTAAACTATCTACTGCACATTTTATTTTTGGGAAAAGAGAGTGAGATCTGGTTTAAATGGTAAATGGACTGTATAGCGCTTTTTTAGTCTCCTGACCACTCGAAGCGCTTTAACACTACATGACATCATTCACCCATTCACATGCATTCACACACTGATGACAGAAGAACCATACACAGTGACACCTGCCATCAGTAACTAACATTCACACACTGTAGTCGCAGCTACAGGAGCAACGTTGGGTTAAGTGTCTTGCCCAAGGACACATCGACATGCAGGTTAGCGGGGCCTGGGATCGAACCGACAACTCTCTGATTGGAGGACGACCGTGCTCCCCACTCCCCCACAGTCACCCCGGCAACAGTAAACTGGCTCCACCTGTGAAGAGGTATGAGGTTATCAACACAGCTTCCTCTTTGCAGCAGATATCGCTTGTTTAGATTCACCCAGAGATGGCGACTCTCTCTCTCCCTCTCTCTCTCCCTCTCCCTCCCTCTCCATGCTGATCTGTGACCAATCAGTGGATCAGAGGAGCCAGTCTGCAGAGCCAGTCATAATAGAGGCTGCAAAGGGAGCCGAGCCTCTGCCCACCCTCTCCCCCCTCACCCCCTCTCCCGAGCTCCCTGACGCTCGATCAACATATCCCAGATAAGGATGACAAAAGAATACTGTTTTCATTTGGAATTTATGTAAGCTGTGAAGGCGGGGATCTCTCTTTCCCGCTCCCTCTCCGTTCTTTCTTTTGTCTGCCTTTTGTGTTCAACAGAAGTTTGCTTATTTCAGAACGAAGAGGGTCAAAGACCTCCACGTAAACCGAGTCTGCTGACGAGTTGTGTGGTACTTTCACACGTGAGACTGAAGCGGCCATTTTAATTCATATTGAGGAGAACTGAAAGGTTTAGAGACTCATAGTGACATTTGCTAATCAGCTCTAATCACGAAGAACAACTGAGGCTGAGTTAAAAACAAAAATACATGAAAATGTTGACCTGACGCTGTAAGCTTTGGGAAAATTCAAGAGATCAAAAAGTTAGCGAATCATCCCGGATGGAATTTGTACGTGTGGCACCAACAACACATGTCAGCACTAAAGGAAGAAGTCAGTGCATCAGCAAAGTTTGTAGGATCAATGGAGACCACGAAGGTCTGCACAACATTTCATGAAAATTCCTGATAGAAGTTGTACCAAAACAACGGACAAGCCAACGCTGCCGTCCACAGTAATGCCGCGACCGTAACAACTGAATCTTGCAGAGGATCTTTACATCCCCATGATTAAATTCTGTGTCTGCCAAAACCTGTTGACGGCGAGGTTTTTTAGCTCGAGCACCGGAGAGTTTCAATGCTGGAGATTCTTTGAATGCAATTTGAAACTTTGAAACTAGGAAAGCACATACAACAATCTACCATTGAATTTCTGTAGGAAGACAATATCTCAGTGCCTTTTTACAAATGAAACCAAATCTGCATGTCCACCTGTAGGCCGCTGAGAAAAGGTGCTTTCTCTAGTAATTTGCGTGCGTTTTAAACAGTTTACAGTGAATACGCTTGTTTTCATTTTCTCCATCGAGGATCAGAGGGGGACTTCATGGAAACGAATTCTCCCGTAACTTTGTTAGGAAACATTTGAAACCAAGACAACAGAAAACACAGAGAGAGTGAAGAGTGGCAGAAGCGAGGGAGGAAGACGCTTCAAACGGGCAGAACAAAAGGAGCCCGCGACGGTTTCGATCCAGATTGCACGGTGGTTTGGGCAGACGGGCCGATAAGACAAAGCTGTGTTGAGAGCTGAAGAAAGACATCTGGGGGCCACACCAGAGCCCAGGTGATGCAACCGATGCTAGCCTCCCAGGCAGGGGCCCATGCGTAGATGCTACGGATACTAGCGGTCTGGAGATTACATAAGGGGGACGCTATGGTCTCCCTGCTCTGGCGACAGTGGCACAAAGGCAAAGCGATGGGAGATCTGATTGGCAGGAGGATTAGAAGCTGGATCTGAAAGGCGCCAGGCCTGTATCAGCAGCAAGACTCCTGCTAGTCTCTGAATACACGCACAGTGAACTGCAGGCAAAAACACATGCATACACGGGGATACGACAATGCACTCGCTCGCAGTCGTGCGCATTGTCCTCAATGTGACTGCGACTGGCCGGCATTGCTGAGTGGCGTCATATGGGCACACGCAGAGAGAAAGAGGAGAACAGGCGAGAGGATAAGGAATACGGGAGAAAATCTTTTGTTCTTGGGCGTCAAGTTGGGTAAAAGAAGCAGGCCTTCAGCCCTGATTTATAAACAGTTACTCAATGGCTGGGGCCCGTGATCTGAAACCATGGTGTTGAGTTGTGGGGGGCTGGGGGGGGGTCGAGGGGGGTTCTGAGAAAAGCGATGCCAGACAAGGGAAGAGGTTTAGTCTGTGGGAACTTCTCAAAATCAGAGTGATAAAGTTACACAGCCTCACTGCGGTTTTCAAAAAGAAGTACACAACAAAATAACCACAGGGTGAGATCATTCCGGTCACCCAGTCACGCGGAGGCTGAAGGAGTATTATTGACTTTATATTATTTAACCAACACGGTCCTCCTTTGTAGAGAAATAGAGCTGGAATAAACATAGGTTGCAGTAGTGAAATCTCATACTTGTCAGATCGCGTCCAAGCTGTCTCAGGTCTCTGTTGAGGTCATCAAACTTGACCTGTGCAGCCAGGAAGACATCCTGAGGTTCAGGAAGTGGGAACATACTGTTGTCTGTGCCGGCGTTCTGGTTAAAGACAAAAAAAGCGCAATAACAATAAGAATTAAGAAATGTAGCCTCTCTCCTGACTCAACAAACAAATAGGAATCATTATTTTTGAGCTAATGCCTTGTCCATGTTGTGCAGATAGTACGACACTACATAGTCCACCAGGCTGATACGATTGTCCTGAGAAGGAAAAACAGGACAGGAGTCACAAAAAAAAGTATTCTAGAAAGATGAGTCAATGCATGATTTACAGGCTGCATGAACAGTTTTACTCTTTAATCACTCAGACAGGTTAGAGAGAATAACTGTAGTTTTTCTGAGTAGATGAGTGTGTTCCACAAGAAGCTGCTACAGTTCTCCAGCCATTATCAAGGCCTTACTCTGCTCTTGACATCCTTCAGTTTAGGCAGAATGTCCAGACCAAAGCCGTCTGCCTGACCTCTGGTCCTGTTGCCTCCGTTCATGTGGTTCCCCAGAGCCAACACCAGCCCCATCACATCCATCACACCGTCGCTCTCCAGCAGAGCCTTAGCACAGAAGAACAATCACAGGATCAACTTCAAACTGCATCACCACATTGAATTTGTGCTACACCTTTTTGAGTTAGGCTATGTGGATGTAATTTGCATGCATGCTTTCAAACTGTATATCCTCATGGTCTCGATCACCCAAACTAATCTGCATGGGGAATCAGCTGTTTCCTTTCACAAGAAGATAGATCACGTGCAGTAGGTGCTTTTCTTCCTACCTTGCAAACAGAGGAGACTGTGTTGAGCTTTGTTTGGATCAGCGCAATCCCATCGAGGAAGGCTGACCTGAAGATGATGCAGTGAGCTCTGCCCTCAAAGTCTGGGATCTGAGACAGCTCATACAGGAACCTGCAGCACGATCACACCAACAGAATGAGATGACATTGTCCATCCCTCTCAGAACTGTGTACAGAGGGGCCATGTGGTATATTTGTCTGGTCAGCTTACACGGACACCAAGACAAAACAATTGTGCAGCCCCTAAACGTTTCTGATAGCAGGTGGAATACTTACTGTTCAGGTTTGTCGAGCAGTTTAACTTCCTCTTCTTCTGATGTCTCGTAATGTTTCTTGATTCTCTCCAGTTCCTCTGGCTGCGCTCGCTGACGGATCAACCATAAAATACCCATCAATGGGTTCAAAATCGCACATTGCACTTGCAAACTGTGCAGTGTTGTTTTTATAGTGTGCTGTGGTGACACTTACATTTTCATACAACGCTTCAACAGTCTCCAGGTCCACCACAGAGTGGTCCACTGCCAATACCGCTACAAGGGGGAATGTTACTATGCATTACGGCTGTTGTTTGTTACAGGGGTTTATCATGCCGACATTGTGAAGAGTGTGAGGTTTATGTTAGGCAGTAATTTACAGTAAACTATCTAAAAAAAAGAGTTAAAAGTACAAGGAAATGTAGAGGTAGGAAAACTATTTGAACACAAGCCTTGTTTACATATATTTATGTATAATACTAGAGATACTTCGGAAGAAAGTTTTAGTATTGTTGATAAATTAATATGGCTAATGTGGCAAATGTCACAAACGGATATAGAATAGAGTTTATTATATCCTATAGAATATACAGTATAGAATATAATTTAGGAAATTATAATAAAAGTGGCAGCACTTTTTTTAACTTCATCTAAAATCCAACTCTTATTGGATTCTAGTAATCTTTACATTTTTTTATGTTCATATTTATTTCATATGCATTTTTTTTTTATATCAGCTGTCGACAAGAAACCAACTTTGACCCAAACTGTTTCCTAGTTACGCTCCTGACAAACGCAATGTCTCCATCACTCACCTTGTTGAATGTCTTTCATCTCCAGGTGCAGGCTCGATATGAGTATGGCCACGGCCTGAGAGCGCTTACTGTCCAGCAGCTTGATGATCTGAGTACACACACGGTTACCATGACCACTATGGAAACCATTAGTGAGTTTATTGTAAGAAAAGGTGGCAAACATTGGTGGATTCTTTTGTGTCTTTGTTCTCTACAAGTGTAATAGTTGTTCCTTGATCTATATTTATAATGCACTTTTTTAATGAGCCGGCATCTGAAGACTGGATGGCACCCTCTAGTGGACATGCAACATAAAGCAAATAATACAACAAGTTAAACTGTGCTTTCTTTTGATGTTCCGGCTAATTTGAAAAGTTACCTTCCGGTCTTTGGCCTTCTTCTGGTAAGCCTCTGACAGCGGCTTCTTCTTGGTCTGTGAGCTGGTTTTGGCGAAGAGATTCTCAAACTCGCTGGTGTTTATGTTCGGTTCCTCTAACATATTCCACATTGTCTTGTTCCTGAGTGAGAGAGGCATGTTGTTGAATCATCCTCGGTTTCAAGGCAAAGTGTCCTTTTTCAAAGGAGTGTTTATAGATCACAAAAGATTTTTACTGTATTGTTTAATTTAATAGTTGATTTCATAATCCCTTATGTATTTATATATTAATTGAATAGAGCATATAAATACATGTGTTCTACTTTATTCTCAGTGGTTTTACTTAAAATGATTTCATTTGTCTTATTTATTTACTTAAAACCATTCAGGAGAAGTGTGACTATATGACATTTTAGGCCCTTTAAGAAATGTTGACATTTAGTGTTCATACGATTGATTACTACTGTCACAGGCAATATGTTTTACTGGAATGTAAGATCATTTGACATGACTCAATGTTTGGATCATGATCATCTTGTGTATTTTCTTATCCACGGTGAACCTACTTGGTGTCTTGGATCTGGATTCTGTTCCAGTAAAGAGGCTTCATGGGTTGGGAAGGCTCCACTGTCGGTTTCCTGGGAGGTTTTTCAACAATAAGACCCCCAACCAGAGGAGGAGGTGGCGGGGGAGCAAAGCCTGGCATGGATGGAGGAGGCGGTGGTGGTGGTGGTGGAGGGCCATTTGACAGCTGTATGTGGTTTAAGGGTGGAGACAAACATGACAGAAGAGGAGGTGGAGGAGGGGGAGGAGGCAGATTGTCTGTTTTGGTTGCCTGAGAAGGAGCAGGAAGTTGTTCTAAAGGCGGCGGCGTGACTGCAGGTGGAGGAAGAGTTTGGGATGGAGCTTCATGTGTTGAGGAGGAGGTTTCTTCCCTCTGACCTGCTAGGCTGAGGCTGATAGAAGCCAGGTCCAGCTTTTTGGGGGTCAGCTTCTGCTGCTGAGGGCCGATGGAGACCCTCCCTGAGTCGTCTCCATCCCCGTGAGTCTTAACAAATGTCTCTCGGTCGGTCTGGATGCACACCGTGCGGAAGGATTTGTGTAAAAGGTCGTCTGCCGTGGACACTGCGACGTCTTTGAGTTCCCCACGGCGACGTGTGGCAACCTGGGAGAGTTGGGCCTGCAGCTCAGCCAGACGGGCGACATTGTCCTCGTTCTCCACCCTCAGTCTGGAGAGTTGCAGACCCAAGTCCTCCTGCAAACGATATAATAATTTCATAAATAACACAATAATGTGAATATATTAACAGACTCTATCTGCAACACTCTAATGTAATGATAATAAATGCATGAGAGTTGCAAACTGGGGCCGGTTAGACTCTAAATAATTTGGCGGTGATGATAACAATCCTGTTTTTCTTTAAGGAACTGTTCAACAATTTTACAAAACGATTGCTGAGTTAAAGTGCAAGTTTCAACAAGAAGCAAATAAGTGAACGTGTCAAACATTTCAGCAGCACAACGTGGTTCAACTCGTTACTGACCTGTAGCTTCTCCAGCTCCTCTTTGCATTCTCTCTTCAGGTGCAGGAGAGAAGACTGGTGCTCTGAGAGGAAACAACACGAGAACATTTAACAATGGTTTGTGATGTGTCGATGGGGGAAAGCTGAGGACAAACAAATGACAACAACAGTGAAAAACTCTGGATGACCAATCAAAGTCATTTTTAACACTGCAGGAGGCTGAGGGCCGTATTTGAGGATGAAACAGCCGTACAGAACTTGACCCGATGATGGCAGTAGAGCTTTGCAGGTAAAGAGACCATAAGACACACGGCGTACTGACACCTTGAGCACACTTTGCAGGGTGGCGGGTGTGTACGCATGAAGCAAACAGTTTTATCCGCGCTCAAACAACCACTAATAATTTTTCTGATAAATTAGGTGCACATGTATCCAGTGAGGTGAGATTATCCTAATTTAGAACTCATGAAAAGGAAGCAGGGCTACTTAAATACTGTGAGTGACATTGTTTTAAAAAGGTCTATTAGCAGTGTTTTATGAATGACAACTTATTTGTAGTAAAGGGTTCTTATTACAGTTACATATATTTCAGACTATTGTAAGGCCAGACTTCATTTTACCGTCAGATTAGTGTGATGAAAATCCAACCATTTTTAAAAATGCAAAGAGACTTGTGAAAAGATTAAGGAGTCATGTTTCCATCATGGTTTTCTTACAAAGTTGTGAAGTAATTAATTTGTTTGGAAAAAGTCTTGATTTGATTTGCTTTAAAACTCTGTGTGACACCTTGTGTGCAGTCCATGTAACCCTTTCACACACGTACTGGAGGCTCACAGGGTGGAGTTGTGTTTACTAAAGCAGTGGTGCTTGATATCACATCCATCTCATGACACGACAAAGCAAACATTCCCACTCCCTCCACAGCTCGTTCTCTGTCCTCGGTATCCTCAGCTGTGACATGAATATTCAGTTTAACATAATTCTAATCGTTGTGGATTTTAATTTCACATGCTGGTGATGTGATCATTTTATGCATTCAGATTTCTGCTATTTGTTAACCATTGTGATGATCCCAGACCCTATTCAACAGATACAAAGACAAACTTAACACTGTTTTATCACCTTGGTACTTCATGACATATCACAAAAAATCTGAGATTACCTCCTACTTAGGGGCCTTGCACACAATAAACGAGGACAGAGGAAAAGAACAATTGTATTTGGAGCCACATTTTCATGAGGAAGTATGTGTTCCCAAACAAGCTCAAAAGCCAATTTGTATTATCTGTGAGTACCTGCTTCTGTGTATTTCAGCCCAACTTTCTCCTCTTTAAGTGGCGGCCAGACGGCTTGTAGGCGACCAGGAGTTCTTTCCTCTCCCTCTGGCGTAAATGCTTCTGACTAGGAGGATGGGAAAAGGAGTTTGACAACAGCTTTACAACAATCAATTACAAATAGAGCTTCTTCACGCCAAGGACCAGGTAAAGCCAATGATGCTTTAATTATACACAACCCCTACTTTGCCATCAGGTGGTTCTTTCTTTTCGGAAGTCTTGTTGGAGGTTTTCTCAAAAAGTGCTCTTAGCATATCTTTGTCTGCTCTTATCTTCTTCCTCACTGCATCCAGGTCCACCTTCTGAGTTGGTTCTTTCTTCAAAGGCTTTGGGGTAAAGAAAGCTTTGAAGGCATCAAATGCAGCTTCTGCACTGTAAACGGAGGGTTTCGTAGACTCCAATGAAACCCCGGCACCCTCCCCTGTTTTAAGCTTCTTCTCCCCCTCTTGACTTTCTTGAACATGGTTCTCCTCCTTCTCCTCCTGATCTCCCTCACCCTGCATTTCCTTCATTTCCTCTTTGTCGTCCCCTCTCTTTTCCCTGTTCAGGAATTGGGAGATCTGGTTCAGCACGCTCCCCTGAACTTTAGCTTCCCCCTCCTCCTCAGCGGAAGTGTCCCCTCTTGTTCCACGAGACGGAGGTTTGATCTGGGCCACGGTGTCGCGCTCAAGCCCGACTATCCCCTTCCTGAGGACCCTCAGGCCGCTAAAGAGCGCCGGCATCTGGACCTGCATGTCAGTGGGGGAACCTGGGGAGAAGGTGGCTGTGGTGCAGGTGGATCCAGTTGGAGGGTTATTGTCTGCAGATGTTATGGAAATATTTGATGAGGTATTTTCTATGTTGGGAGGATGGTGAAGTTCTGGAAAAGAAAAGAAGGAAAAATCTGGAAAAGCATCTCTTTTCTCTTGCTGTTCTTCTTGGCTGTCCTCCTCTGCCCCTGCGCTCTCCTCTTCTGCAGTCTTATTAAAGCAGGACGTGCCTCCGGTTTGCTCCAAAGACGGTACTACAGTGGGTTCAACCTCTTCCTCAACTACAGGTCCTGTCCGAGTGACCATTATGACTACACGTTTGGTTTTAGAGGATTCACTTTTCACAAGTCCCTCTGGGTCAAAACCCACATCCGAAGTGAATGTACTTGTGACAAATTCTTCCCCACCGTGATCATTTTTGTGGCCTCCTCCTCCTCTCTGATTAGGTTCTTCTGCATCATCCTGCTTCACGCTGACTGCTGCAACAAATTCGCAACCTGTATTTGTGCAGTCAGCTGAAACCGGTCGGCATTTTGGTTGCAGAGATTCCTCCGAGGAATGTTCGTCCGGTGAGTTCTTGTTTGCAGCCACGCTGCGCTGCTCTGTTAGGTTGCCATTTTTCCTCTCCTCTTTCGTTATGTTTGAGTCATTTCCCGGTTCTCTCCCACTTATGTTATCTTCTGATATAGAGGTTATCTCCTCCCCTACAGGAGGCAATGGGATGCCTGATAAATAGTGTTTACTGTTCTCATCGGCATCCTCAGAAACCATATCCCCGTATTTCCTCACATTAACACTCAGCCCATTGCCTCTTTGCATTATACCATCATTGTCCTCTTCTGAGAGGGTCCTGAAAAACTTCGCTTTTTGCTCCTCCATTGCTCATAAGAAAGTGGTGACGTGATCCTGAGTGGAGGGAGCAGGAAGTTCTTGAAAAGCTTTTCTCACAATGTCAATATGCTACGTCTACAGTACATGTCATGTAGATGTAGATGTACGTCTAGATTGACAACTGCAACATTGAGCTTACATTAGAAAAATCTAATCGCAGAAGGTTTAACGCATGTACTATTTTCTCTAGCTGATTCCAGGATCATGCAAAATCCATTTTCAGAAATATAATGAAATATAATGAACAAGCAATGTCAATAAAGTCATATCACCACGTGTGAAAATCCATCTTGTTTCCGCTCCAGTTTGTTGAAAAGCAAAAGCTCTTTTCAGCGCTGCAACAGCACCGTCGTGTCTTACAGGAGAACTAACTTTCCAAAGCTCAAAACGGGAGTTAGTCACTTGGAGCCTCCAACGACCGGGGAAAAATCCACACAGTAATGGAAGAGGGAAGCTTTCCAAGCCACAACGCCATTGCTCTGCCGGGTAGAGTGACTCAACTACAATTAAAATTTAGATCCAAGTCCTGTTTTCCAAGTTGTGCCTTCCTTTTCCCGCAGGCTCATCTACAGCTTCTTTACTATACAGAGCAGCGTTTTGGACGCCATCCTGCATATCGTCGCTGTGTAAATGGAAGCAGATGGTGACTTAAGCCACTGTTTGCAACAACACCCTGACAGGTCCGCGAGGCCATCCGGCGACGAAAGCCACCCAGAACAGATGGAAGGGCCACCACACCCAGAGCTGAAGGAGGGTAAACATGACTGCCAGGGATCACTTGCTAAACGTTATGGCCTGTTAATCCACATTCACAGGGAGGTCTCTCAGCTCCCCTGCAGGTGCTGAGCAGCTATTCGGGGCGTCTTGGGCCCCACCTGCACTGTACTCTTATCAGCTCACGTTAAATCTAGCGTTCACTGTGGAGAGACAGAGAAGCGCTGCCAGAGCATTGGTTGTAAATAAATGTTGGTTTTCTAAACAAAATGGGGTTTTTAAAATGAGGTTACAAATTATTTCAAGTTGCTGACACGGATCAACACAAAGGAGGCCATAAAGAAAGCAAAGAATAAAAAGTTGACGCTAAAAATATAGACAAAAGTCAAGGCGGTTTATATCGATCAATACTAAAAATGCCTCATTAACGATGTGAAAATACTTTACCAACATGCACACTACGTGCACCTAAGAGATGAGTGTGGCACACATTTCCAACTCCTTTTCTTAAGTTTTTTTTATGGATTCCTGAGTTTTTCTTTGTTCAGAGGTTACACCCTTATTTGCTGTTACGTTACATTATCACACCCGGCAGCAGGTAAGTGACATGTTTGTTTCCGATAACAATTACTCAACTTAGCGACATGCATGGAATTCTGTAGCAGCGTCTTAATCTGCTGTTATGAACACTAAAAGTGTTTTTTGCATTCCCTTGGGAGGAACACTGCAGCCTTTATTATGGGAGCGGTGTTTATGTAATAGGAATACATACAGTTAATCCCATGAAAGAGCATTAGAATCAGAAAACAAACAAGGAAACACTCCTGAGCAAATACACTGCACTGAATCCAGCATGAAGCAGCACACATATTGTCATGAATTTCTCTTTTACAGATGTAAATAATATAAATTTAATAAATAATATGTTGCTGATGTTGTTGATTTTGACAAGTTTAAGTGAAGCGTGTTTGTTCTTGGTTGCTTCAGACTCCTATCTTCTTTCTCTGTTCAATGAACTGGTGTTTAATGTTTTATTCATTTTATGCATGTGTATATAAATATTAGAAATTTGCATGGATAATATTAAATATATTATTACTATGATTATTATTATGACTATCACAAGTGTAACTATTATTATTAATATTATTTATATTGCTTATCTGCTGTGTTAATTTAGCATGAAGAATGTTCACAGTGGTTAAAATATATACAATTTGTCTCAACTGTCCGCTACACACACATCGTGCCTACCGAGAAAAGAGGTGGCGCTTAAGAGCTTCAAACATCAGGGAACTACCATTTAATGCTAATACAGATGACATTGATCATACAATGCACCTATAGAGTTGCATTAAATCCCCTCTGTTATGCAACAAGGAACTCTTTGTCACACACAAACGCACAAATTTGCACACACCCACATCCACACTATATGGGATGTTTTTTTAAACTGGAATCCACAGGGTGTGAAGCAAGCGACCAGACTCTGTAGTGTGAACATGCAGGTTAACAATGATGGAACATTTTAATTTATTTTTTTCAGGCCAGACAGCATAACACAGATAAAGTCTTCAGAACTCTGTGTATCGATGATGTCGTCTTCAGGAGCGGTGAAGCGCAGGTGGGGAGAGACTCTTCGACCTTCTTCTGCCAGATTGTTTCCTGTCTCTGCAAAGCCTCGTCTGGGGGGAAAGGGGTCCTGTCATCATCTGAGCAGAATCGTTAGTTTGTCATACTGCAAGTGAAAGGGCCCACAATCAACCACACAATCGTATATTTCTTTGAATGCTATCCTCACGTATTTTTAAGTCTTAAGGATCTGTAAGATTTCCATATCAACGTGTAACAGAGGTTCGGTTCATACTGTCTTACATACTATCTCATGTGTCACACATTGTCTCATACTCCAACAGTCTCCGTGGAGCACTGCTAAGAGCAGCCACCAGGTTGATATTTTTATGTTTTGATCCACCGGGTTCAAATCCAGGTTGTGCCGATCTTTCCTTTAATATATTTTTTTATGTAAATGTTTTCATATTCAAAAAAAATCGAATCCAGTCGGCCAATGAGGAAGTAATATAAGTTTTGAGAATCTGCATCTATCCACCATATTATATTCAACTATATGATGAAACACCTTCGGGTTTGAGTTCACCGCGATGTTAAAACACTCAGTGCCTTTGTGTTACACAAGGAAATAAGTACCGGGAATACCGGGTCTCTGTATAAGCATGACGACGAGTCATATGTGCAAGTATTTACTCAGATACATCAGACATCTTTCCTCCAAGATTCACATGTTGCATGTAATATATTTCCACAAATACAAGTTGAAGTAGTCTAAAGGAAAGGATACGAATTCTTGAAAACAGCACATCGTTCAGTACAACATATTATCATTCTACACTGTGCACAGACCACAACTGATTTGAATAGCATTTAGTAATAAATAATTTAAAAAAATTGTAGCCAAATGTTTTTTAGTGATAGGGATTCTGTTTAGGTCTCAAACAGACAACTCTGGTCAAATGCTATTTTTGTATGGTCAGTTAACGATTCGCTTCATTGAAGCTGCAATAAAACAAAGGAAAGAAGCGTGAACTTGCATGCAAAACCCTCAATTGTCCCCTTTTAAGTAAGAGGTGGATGGGGAACCTTACTGGACTCTGACAAAACGGCAAGAAAAGGAACACCAAGTAAATATCTTCAAAGAGGGCAGGGGGAGGGCATTTCAGACCAGAATATCACTGTGGACTTTTCATAGTTCTACCAAAACGTTTTGAAAAACCTGGTATGTACAATGCAATGAGCAGTTTTTAAACTCTTTGTGCTATATATTTTCATAGACACAGATAACATGAAAAAGCTCATCATCTTGCAACAGGAAAGTTGAATATCTTGTGCGGTCTTACGTAGAGGATATTACAAGCTGCAAAATAATGTATTTACTTACCCGATAAATAATATTGTCTGCATATATTGAGAATCCTTTCATTGCCTTAAATGGAGTAACTGCACGTGCAATTAGAACCAAAAACCAAAAATAAGAAACGTGAGCATTATTTAACAGAACGACGCTCCAGTGTGTGAGCTCTTTTCACAATGCACGTAGCACCCTCTTGTGGCCGAGTTCTTACACTACATCTAACGCATTGACCAATAGAAAAGGCGGTGGCTGCAGCTTCATAGAATATACTCCTACATAGAAAGAAAAACACGGATAGGTTGAATGAAGGCCGAATGGAATCAACCGCCTTGTTGATTTGAAAGGCAACAGGCCCCATGATCAATATAAGAGATTGGAAAACAAAATACTACATTGTGGAAAATTTCAAGTGGTTCAGTGGTCGATAATTCATTCTCCATTTTCAAACACAGTATGAAACGATTCTGCAATCGTATCTTTGTGTTAAGTCCTTTTGGCTGTATCTCGATTGCAGAATATGTAGAGGACATGGAAATGTATTTGGTTACATTATAGACAACAAGTGAACTCAGCCGGAGACAATAAACATTCTGTCCCACCGAGGGAAACCTTGACATTTGAAGCTTCCGCTGGTTAGTCCACCGCACACACACGCACCTTTGTCCTCGAAGCCGCTCGCTAGCATTTTTGGCACATGGAACAAAGGAATAAAAATTGCTTCACTTTATTTCAACTAACGACAAAAAGAAACGTTTTGCCTAGTGTGCGAAGTGTCCAGTGGTAACAGACGATCAGATCTGAATTGTCTCTCTAACACCAGCAGCCTTTTCCTCGGTCGGCCGCCTCGCTGTCACAGAGTCCTTCCTCTTCCTCCAGAGCGGCAAGATTAATCTCGTCATTGACAGACATCCGGAGAAGATCCAGGTCCTTTTTATTAGCTGCCAGCACCTGTTCAGCCAATCGTGTGAAAGTCTTCGAGGGAGACACAGACACAGGTCGAAAGACATCTTTTTTTTTTAGTCTTCAGTCAAGGTAATGCTTCAAAACGCAGGTTGGAAACACTGGCACAAGGGTTGTGAGGTCGATTCCGACTGGGCCCCTCAGACCTTCAAATTCATCGTCTGAGTGCAACGACATTGAATTCAATCAGGTCCCTCCCTCCCACTGTAACCATCTCTACATGTATTGTACATTAGATTGTAATGCTGCTCTGCACGTGGTCATAACATCATCTCACCTCGGATATATTTTGGTTGGTGAAGGCACTTGTCTCAAAGAAATCCATCCCGTAAGCCTTGGCCAGCTGTGAGACAGACAACAGTGAAGCATTGATTTAAGAAAACAACAACAACAACAACAACAACAACAACAACAACAATAACTGAATGTCATTCCTTTCCACACATGTGCAGTGGGATCTGCGGGCTGTCGGCTTTATGATTATTATAACAAACGATTATACGCTTTTTGAGGAAGTTGAACATTTTGGTAAAGAAGCTCGTGGACTTTGCTGCCTTGATTACATCTCTTATGTGCAATAATGATAAGAGTTAGTCGAGCTTAGCTTAAAAAGTGAAGCGTGGGACGATTTCCATCATCAGCATACCAGCATAACATGGTACAGACTTTACTAGTCTAATCCAGGAGACTGTTCTTCAGAATTAACAGTTTTGGTGGGAGGTTTTTCTTTCCCAGTCCAAGCATCACAGTCTGAATGAAATCTAGTGTATTTGCAAAGCATTTTGGGTAATCCAAATGCAAAGCATATGTAAACCCAACTAACAGACAAACTGCCCGAGGCAAGTTTTTAATAAGATCCCTGACGATACCTCGTGAGGACCATCTTCACTGACAACTGCACGCCAACAGTGATGCATTCTAGGGCCTTGCTCGTCTCCTGCTGTATCCTACACAGACACACACACGTTCTTCAGTAATGGCAATTTATGCTCTTCTACAACATTCATTTTTAGTGTTGAAAGGATTTCCTGGAGAATATGGTTTCTATATAAATATAAAACTATCTTCAGGTATAGTTTTATATTAATACACACCAAACTTTTACACATGTGCAAGTACTTACAGAACATGTCTTGAAGAATTCACTGGAGTCGTCACCAAGTAAAATCTGAATGCCTTTGAGGACAACAGAGCAAAGTACTGTCACGCCTGGTGTCTAATGATACAGAGAGAGAGAAAAGACCAATTTAAAAAAAAAACACTTACAAATTTAACCCCACTTAGAATTACTAAAAACCTACAACTTACTGCTCACTCATTTTTCAAGTTCACTTAAATTAAACAAACTAATTTCCTTTAATGGGTCCTTGTTCGCTCCCCTTTTTTTTAAATCTATGTTTAGCTGTTGTTACCTAATAAAGGCAAAGACACCACAACAATATACTTTAAAAGAACACTCATTCAGCTGCATTACAACATTTATTTTAAAAAAAAATTGCATAATTTACAAATCGAGTCTGAATAATAAACATTTGACATTGTTATTACTTCTGATTCCAATTCTCCAATATAAAACATGTGTTTTATTACTCACGTAATAACCTTACAATAATCAATAAAATGACTGTTCTTCATCCTCTTGTCATATTCGATGTAAAAGCGAATTGTAAAATCAGGCACCAATGAGAATTACATTCGTGAACATGTGACATTTGAAAATAACAGAACAATCTATTGGCTCGTATTTCCCCTTCAACAACACAAAACACGTCAGTGACATAGAGGAGGTCAGGTCAGGTCAGGTGAACTCAGAATGACCTTATTCTCCTGACACCACGTTCCGCGTTCCAGTGACGTTTGGTGAGGTCAGTAAGGGACATATCGCCGCTAGTTATAGGGAACACGTCATTACCCACAATGCAATGGGGGCAGCGTTTGGCCCCTTTCAGACCCAATAACGTGAAAAATAAAGTATTTAATGCGACTAAAAACGTTGGAAATATCTTATTGGACGTTACCAAGCCATGGACATCAAAAAAAAAAAAAAGAAACACCGAGCCAGAAAAAGTGCAAACCGTGCAAACCGTGACTGACATCTTTAGTCGCGGTATAGGCCTCTACTTCGAGAAATTCTATACGGCGGTAATCCAAAGTAAGCATTAGGCAACATTAGGTAAGGTAAGTATGTACTGCTGTTGATGGCAGTGTGGTACGGCTGGGTGGCCGGCGCAGGCTGTGACTTCTAGTTGGCCTGCCGGCAAGGTGGCGGGTGGGACGCCGGCTTGTCAGCTAGAGGTCCGAGACAGCAGCCTGTTCTGGACGCCTGGCCGGGCCACTGGGGGGGGGGGACCCCCTCAACCCCTCAAATATGTTTAATGAAATAACCAATCCCACATTACATTGGTGAACACGTAAATGGTGGAACATTTCCTTCATGAAATAGTTCATTAGAAAAGAGTGGTATAATGGTATAAATATCTCAAATTCAATTCATTTCAAGTCACATCTAACTGGCTAAACAAATACTTTTGATACCTACATACAGTACGTTAAGCCAATAAAACTTCTAGACCCCCGCCCCGAGCTCTTCCCCCACAGCTCATTTACTATGTGAACACAGCAAATAATAAGCATAAGTAAAAACATCCAATTGCCTCACATTTTGGCACATATAACAAAGGACTTCAGCTAAACAAAGGTATTATTATTAACACACACAAACACACACATATGAATATATTATGAAAGGTGTTAATATTTTGATGGCCGTTCGAGCTCAGCAGTGAATAAATACACCTGCAGCCATTCTTCTCTCTAGAGTACGCATCATTCACATAGAAACAAAAAAAATGGAAAATAGGGGCGGGTTCAAAAGTTGCCCTTTCAAAACTTAAATTCATGAAAATCTATTTACTGTTAAAATGAATAACCAAGAGGGCCCAATTAGTGACGTTTCATTGGATAAAGACATGAGCTTGCAGAAAAAACCTACCAAGGTTTTCTCCGTTATTTTGCTAGTCACTTTTTCAGCATTGACCTGGCTGTCATTTGCAATTTGTCCCTCGTGTTTTCCAACGGCGGCTATAAAAGTCTCTGATAGCAAACAGATCTGGGACACTGCTTTATTTAGTTTAGGTTGCAGTCACCCATGGAGCCAAGGGTTTTTACTCCGAGTGAGTGATGTATCATTACTAAAGCAGTAGTAAAATACGACAGCAGACTTTTTACAAAGGCAGATTGCCATGAATCGATTTCAAATATAGGAAATATATTCAATAAAATAATTATGAAATCATATCATAAAAAACAAGGTCCACTGACAAAGTCACAGTATTTAATTGCAGGTATTTAATTTCAAGGCTGGCACGATGAATTCTCAAGCTGCACGGTCATCTCCCACCTGGGAAAGACTATTTTGTCGACTTGTGCAGGAGTGTCCGAGGCTGGGAGCCGTACGTTAGTTAGACGAACAGTTGGATGACGGGTTGTACAGAATCTGTTGAATGAAAACCACAACAGCGCTGGTGAGGGCAGGTGTCTCAGTCTCGCGGCCGCATCCTGCCCGCCGCAGGTGTCCGACTAGCGCCGCCGGACCGTCAGCGCCGCCCCCTCGCCGGGTACCGGTCGCCGGTCGGACCGTCAGCACCACACTTCAATATTAACCCCGAAGTTTAGTTCTG